TGCGGTTTAGGCTTCATTCAGAATGGAAGTGTTTCGCATAGAAGTTTTAAAGTTATGGTAGATGTAGGTTTGCAGTTCTGTAAAATTAAAATTGTTCTCCAAAACTGCCTTTTTTTTATCATGGAGGTTTTTCTAAAAAAGAGGGTCCATTGCTGAGGCCAAAACCCATTTCTACAGCAGGGTCTACTGGAACAATGCAACTAAACTACTGTATCCAAAGGTACAGCAGCTGACTGAAATAATTATCACTGCCTAGTTTGGAATCACACAGTCCAGGATGGTATACAGTATAATACTAATATTGATATTTTTTCTCATTTAGCTTATGTGCTTAATGTGACTAAAATTCTCACTTCATAATCAGTAGGTAATTTATTCCAGCCATGCACAGTCGCTCATTTGTCACCATTTTTATTTTTCAGGCTTTTCCTGGTTTCTAGGACAAGCAATCCGGGAGCACATTATTCCCCCCTGGAGAAACAACAGGTTATCATAAGACCTAAGTTTTCTGAGTTCATAGAGGCAGATATCAATGATGGTTTCCAACAGGGACTTGAACCCACAACCCACCAATATGAGTCCAGAGACTTTCTTAGTACTCTACACTGTCCTTTACACTTCATAGTCTCAGTCGTCTAAAATGGGCAACATGACCAAAGGCTGGCCATTATTTACTAATTCTGCAGGGGAATGTTTCTGCTACAGTATATTGCATTTGAGATACTGGACTATATTATTGTTAAGAAATCTTTTAACTGCTGTCTGTAACTCTGTACCGATGTGGTGTCCTGACCTGAAATTAGAGTGGGCTTGTTGTATTCTCCACATCGCCCCAAGAAGAGAGCCCCTGTAGGGCACAGATCCTCTGAAGCGCTGTGGAGCTTTCTGGTCTATAGCGTTCCGCACCGACAACAGGATTGGTGACCACCCGCTAGATTCTGTGGGGAAAAAGGACAATCAGTCACTACTCTCGCTCCTGTGGACTCTTGCAGGCACTCCAGGTTTGTGATTTATTTTTAGATTTAGATGTTAGAAATCATCTGTAAGGCAATTGTTAATACTTTCTTTCTGACACACAGCTTTTGAGTGCTAGACACCAATTAAAACATGCCTTTTACAGGCTGTATTAGTGAAACATGAAGATTATATTCTGTATTAGGCATTTATTATTTATGAGAAAAAGTAAGAACAGTAATTAAGTTGTATACAGAGATCATTCATCATGTGCTGGTTAGTTAGTCACTGTTAATTTGCCTTTCCTGAATTGCTAACACATGTCTTACAGGTGAGTCCAGTAGGGACTGTGCACTGTTTTCTGCAGCAAAGGATTACACCCCTTTTCATCGACTTTTGTTTCTTCTTCCTGCATGATGCACCTGTGGCAGCAAAATAAGCCTGTTAGTTTGTGGGTTTTTTTTTAAAAGCTGCACATACTCAGCAAACAGCCTCAAGTTTTTTTTATCTGTAATTGTTGCAATGTTTCCCTGCGTTTTACTTCAGAAAATGGGGATTAATACTGGCATTCGTGGATTTTTTCATCTGAAGACCTTTTTAGTGTTGCAACCTGCACTCCATTGATGGACAAAACAAAGGCATTCTTAAATTGGATAAGGAAATAGTCAGATAGAAAAACAAGAGAGTAAGAAAATAAGAGTGTAACAGATTGAATCCTTTAATAAGGCGGTTTCGCAGAACTGATCATATAAAAAGCTCTTAATACTGATACTGTATAGATTAGTATTAAGATTTATTTCACAGATACTACAGGTCTTCATAGAACACCCCAGAAGAGACACCCCAGACAGCTCTCAAGCACCCAGCCCCCAGCTAAAACTGTGAAGCCCATTATGTACCTAATATCCCAAGTAATTAACCCTCATGTGAGAATGTGGAAAGAGCAACCACAAATAATGAAAGAATTAGCACCCACTGTGTGTATTTACAAACAGCTGTCATATGAGTCCCCTCAAAGACCAGCCTGCCACAAAGAATATCCATCCACCCATTTTCTAACCACTTCTTGCAATTCAGGGATGCAGGGGAGCCAGAGCCCATCCCAGCAAGAAACGGGCACAAGGTAGGGCCACAAAGAATAATATCGATGAAAATAACTAAGTAAATACGTTTGCAACACCACCCTGTTTCATTTTTGTCTTCTCTGAGAAAACGTAGGTAACAATGTTTTCTTAACCAAATAATTATATTTAGGTGGTATAATCTGGCAGCAGAACCAAATTTTATCAGAGGGCACAAAAGAAAATGCAGCGTGAAATCAAGATTATGTATGCAGTAATTACAACCGAATAATGATTACTGGTTTGATTAAAGAGCTGTACAGTAGTTATCATATCCATACTCTGATTAATATACTATACGCTAAAGCACTTGCTTGGCAGGAGCTGGTATCTGGGATGTCTTACCTGGCTGAACCAGGAGCGCTGGAACCAGCAGCAGCACTGTGGAGAGGATCATGGTCACAGCGAGAGCCATCCTGCTTGACGTCTCAGTCGAATACCTCCTGTGGTGGCTCACTGGGCTACTTATACCTCCTCTACTGTCACAGGTCTGGGGGAGGAGGAAGAGGGTGTGAGTACAGAGTGACCGAGCTTTTAGTATGGGTCAAACTGGTCAGAAAGGATTGATTGTGCTGGACATTTTGTTCTTGCTCTCCAATCTCCCTCCTCCTTCTTTGGAATGTTTTTTTAGTTTTGATAACCTAACCTTTCTTCTTGGGCTGTCTTGTTTTTTGTGTTTTCCCAGCTTGTTCTCGGCAGCCTTTTTGAGCGAATGGTGTGTTCATACTCTTGTCATTTCCTAGATCTGGATTGGTCTGGTTATCTGTGATCTGCAACTTGGTGCATCACGTAGAGCAACTGCTAAACCGATATAAGACCTGCTCTCCAGATGTGAGGTTGGTGGTTCAGAACAAGACTATGACTGCAGTGCACTCTCCTTTTATTGTGCTGGTGCCCTCAGTGGTTTACAGTATGGGAAATCATACCAGTACTACAGCTAATAGGTTGACTTTAGCATCTGGGGTTGCAGTAGGATTTTTGTGGACTGTCATTCTATCCAAGGCTAAGATCAGCCCTGTGTTTCTGGGATAGTCTCTAGCTTGCTGTGACTCATCAGGATAAGTGACTTCCTGACAACAGATGGATGTACAGTATGGTGCTCATTTTGAGTAAGGCTGAGTATAATGATGGCCAATTACAAGTTTGACAAGGTGTCTCTAAACTACCCAAGCGTACATGTACCCTGCAACAGATTGGCATCCCAACCATGGTGTAGCCCTGCCTTAATTCTATTTTGCATTCATGTATTTCTTTGGCAAATGGCAAACTATTGAAATGACAATCTTATTTTGGGGGTAGTCCAGCCAAGAGGGGTAGTGGGGTGGATGGATGATGTACTGTAGTAGAAGAGTATGAATAGTTCAGTAAAACTACAGGTGTAAAAAGGTAAATCTGTATAAGGTAACCTGAGAACTGCTAAAGCAAGATTTGCTGCTCTTCCCACACATATTTGTTATATCTGTTTACCAGTAACACATGCATTGATTGAATATCTATCTCAGTACAGCAGTACCCCACTTGGTCGTCAGGTTTCAGAAATAAATTCATCTCAGAAAGCAAGATAAGACAAGGGAGTGAGTTTTAATCACACCAGAGTTTATTTGGATTTCTAGACATGTTCAGATTTTGAGCAAAATTGTAAAGAATAGTCAGAGATTTATTACTAGAGCAGGACAGCTGGGAAGACCTTGTGAGGAAATTCTTCTGTCTGACTTGAGTCAGTTTCACAGTAGGAACGTAGGGAACATTCAGCCTCCCAATTAGTTTAGTGTCGTTTTAGATTGTCCCAGGTTGTGAAGTTCAGGATGATGTGCTCGTTTGGCTTTGGAATGTAGCACCCAACTCCTGGGAAGACAAAGTGAGTGAACAGACAGATGTGCTTAATTAAGTTATATCAAAGTACAGAGACAAGCGAGCCTAGGTGCAGGGAGAAGTATGAATTAAAACAGGAACTCAGCTGGACAGAATTCGCAAGGCGTGGATTTCATACAGTAGCTGTTGCAGTTAGAGACTTGCATCATCTTTCCTGTACATCACAGTCATATTCTAGTGTTTGTAATCGTTTTGCTGGAAACCAAAACAGATTAATTTCCAAACTTGCAACATCTGTGATGAGAACGATCTGTGCACCAGTTTGCCTGACTGAAATCAACTTGACATTGATCATTCAGAGCGAACATTTCTGATTCTTGGGTGGAGAATGACCAGTGCACAAAACGTCTTTGCCCTTATCCAGGACCCAGAATACTGTGGCTACAGATTTATTTATTACCACACATTTATGGCTTTAACAACATGGCTGGGTTGCTTGTTCCAGACTCCCACAGCCCTTGAGCTGAGCTCCTCTCCCTTGTCTTCCAGTCAGGACAGGGATCGTGCAGCGCTGTGGCAGGCCTGTCTCTCCCAGTTCTTTGACAGCTCCCGCAGGGGTGTGATGGGATTCTCACAGTGACTCACCCCTGTCCAGAGGCGTCTTGGGGTACCTCAGCAGCTGCCAGTACGTGTGGGCCGTGTCGTTCCCAGCCACTCCGTTCACACTCACCAGGTAGGGGCCGTAGTTGATGTCATCCCTGGTCTCAAAGCTGCAGAAACAGACACAGCCTTGTGAGCTGAGCCCAGGCCATTAGCCCACAGCGACAGCTTCTGGCAATTACACAGGCAGCTGGAGAAAGAGTGTTAATTCATACTTCTTGACACAGCCAAGAAACTTCAGAGTGTAGGAAAAATGACGTGCGGTTTAGGCTTCATTCAGAATGGAAGTGTTTCGTATTGATGGAGTCTGCTAGCAGAATCCGTATGTTACTCTGTACCCATATAGTGGTTGCTGCAGTGAACTCCTGCTGAATTCACATGCTAAACTCTAACCTTCACACTTGCTTTAGCACAGGTGCTTTTCCCACGCTGTACTAAACTCCTGTCTTCTGTTCTAACCTCCTGATGGGGACGGAATGTTTCTACTAAACTCCCTGATAAGAAAGGAATGTTTTAAGTGCTTTCTGAGTCCTGGAGTTTCTTGAGAAAGCTACCTCAAAGACAGGAGGAGGAGGGTGTAGAGAAAAGTGTATATATACGCTGTCTAGAGCCAGATCCCCTTTGAGCTACTATAACTGCTATAGCTACTATGGTTCTTCTTGTGGTTCCTTGTATGCATACAATAAAGCTTGGCTTGACGAACGGACACTTCAGGCTCGAATCTCTTGGTTTCTACAGTATAGAAGCTTCAAAGTCATGGTAAATGTAAGTTTGCAGTTCTGTAAAATTTAAATTGTACTCCAAAACTGCCTCTTTTTTATCATGGAGGTTTTTCTAAAAAAAGAAGGTCCGTTTCTGAGACCAAAACCCATTTCTACAGCAGGGTGTACTGGAGCAATGCATCTAAACTACTGTATCCAAAGGTACAGCAGCTGACTGATATAATTATCACTGCCTAGTTTGGAATCACACACTCCAGGATGGAATATAATACTAATATTGATATTGTGTTTCTCATTTACCTTATGTGCTAAATGTGACTTAAATTCTCACTTCATAATCAGTAGGTAATTTATCGCTCATTTGTCACCATTTTTATTTTTCAGGCTCTTCCTGGTTTCTAGGACAAGCAATCTGGGAGCACATTATTCCACCCTGGAGAAACAACAAGTTATCATAAGACCTAAGTTTTCTGAGTTCATAGAGGCAGATATTGATGATGGTTTCCAACAGGGACTTGAACCCACAACCCACCAATATGAGTCCAGAGACTTTCTTAGTACTCTACACTGTCCTTTACACTTCATAGTACAGTACTCGTCTAAAATGGGCAACGTGACCAAAGACTGGCCATTATTTACTAATTCTGCAGGGGAACTGTTTCTGCTATATTGCATTTGAGATACTGGACTATATTATTGTTAAGAAATCTTTTAACTGCTGTCTTACAGTAACTCTGCACCGATATGGTGTCCTGACCTGAAATTAGAGTTGGCTTGTTGTATTCTCCACATCGCCCCAAGAAGAGAGCCCCTGTAGGGCACAGATCCTCTGAAGCTCAGTGGAGCTTTCTGGTCTATAGCGTTCCGCACTGACAACAGGATTGGCGACCACCCGCTAGATTCTGTGGGAAAAAGGACAATCAGTCACTACTCTCACTCCTGGGGACTCTTGCAGGCACTCCAGGTTTGTGATTTATTTTTAGATGTAGATGTTAGAAATCATCGGTAAGGCAATTGTTAATACTTTATAAGTATTTTAGACTTTTGTTTCTTCTTCCTGCACGGTGCACCTGTGGCAGCAAAATAAGCCTTAGTTTGTGGGGTTTTTTTTTAAAAAGCTGCACATATTCAGCAAACATCCTCAAGTTTCTTTTTATCTGTAATTGTTGCAATGTTTCCTTGCGTTTTACTTCAGAAAATTGTGATTAATAATGGCATTCAGGAATGTTTTCATCTGAAGACCTTTTTAGTGTTGCAACCTGCACTCCATTGATGGACAAAAAACAAAGGCATTCTTAAATTGGATAAGGAAATAGTCAGATAGAAAAACAAGAGAGTAAGAAAATGAATGAGTGTAACAGTCCACACCCCTTCATAAGGCGGTTCCACAGAACTGCTCATATAAAAAGCTGTTGATACTGATACTTAAGATTTTTTTCACAGCAGTTCTGGCAGCAGAACCAAATTTTATCAGAGGGCACAAAAGAAAATGCAGTGTGAAATCAAGATTATGTATGCAGTAATTACAACCAAATGATGATTACTGGTTTGATTAAAGAGCTGTACAGGGTACAGTAGTTATCATATCCATAGTCTGATTAATATAGTATACGCTAAAGCACCTGCTTGGCAGGGGCTGCTATCTGGGATGTCTTACCTGGCTGAACCAGGAGCGCTGGAACCAGCAGCAGCACTGTGGAGAGGATCATGGTCACAGCGAGAGCCATCCTGCTTGACGTCTCAATCGAATGCCTCCTGTGGTGGCTCACTGGGCTACTTATACTTCCTCTACTGTCACAGGTCTAGGGGAGGAGGAATGGGGTAGGGCTGAGCTTTCAGTGCAGATTTAGCTGGTCAAAGAAAGCTATTTTGTTTTTGCTCTGATAGTCTCAAATCTCCCTCCTCCTTCTTTAGAATGTCGTTTTAGTTTCCAAAGTGTAATATTTGTTCTTGGACCATTTAATCTTTCCCAGCCTGTTCTCAGAAGCTTCCCTGTCTGGATGCTATTTCATCTTTTGGGCCCAGGGCTGCAGGATGCATTTCCTCGATCTGGATTGTTCAGGTTATCCGGTGGTCGCCTGAGGAGCCTGGTTATTAATCTCATTGACTTGGTGTGCCATCTCCTGGCACGCCCTTTAAAATCTAGGATGCACTCCGGCATGGCAGAGGGGAGGTGGATGGTTCAAATCCAGGCTATGCCAGCAGTGCATGGGGGAATATATTCCTTTCAGTGTGATGGTGCCCTCAGTGGTTTACGATATGGGAAAAACCACCAGCACTTAAGCCAATACATTGCCTTTGGTCTCAGGGTTGCAGAGGTCTGAAGTAGACTGAAGTCCAGAGCAGGGATGACAGCAGCCATTTGCTCAAAGTCCTGCCTGTGCTTCTGGAATAAGCTCTTGCTTTGACCCTCACAGGGATAAATGGCTCACTGATGACAGTTGAACGGATGACGGATGTCTCCATTCCCCTGAGATACTTCTGCCATTTGCACCTTTATGGCTACAGTATAACTTGCTAATCTGACCCATGTCCTTTCCTTTCTTCAAGGTTACTGGAATCCTTGGACCTTAAAATGTGAGATCACTGACTACTGCTGTTCTGAACAATGTTTTGTTTTTCATATTTAGGTCATTTCCCTGTTTTTTCAAGGCATAAACTGCTTTAGGTCTAATATTTCTGTTCTGTTTGACCTCAATTGGGATTCTCCAGCTCTTCTTACATCCATTCAAAGGTCCTATTATTCTAATTCTTCCTTGTCTGTGTCAAGAGATTTTATGTCATAAAATATCATAAACATTTCTTTGGGCTTTTAAGGGTTTCTGTTTTTGAATTGGAACAGTACAACCCTTTGAGCTGAAACAGAACAAAAGTTAATAAAGCCACCCTTGTAAGGTGAACTTTTTTCTTGTCCTTTCTTTCCAAGTTCCATCCATAAAATTTTTGAAGATATCTTTTGGATTTCTTCTGAATTGAAGATTGAAGATATCCTCTGGAATATACATTGCATATTTGGATATATTGAAGAGATTGGTGCTTTTGTTCCTTTGTGCAAGTGCAAGTTTATTTTTATATTCTTGTTTCTGGAAAAATGTGTGCTTGAGGAAAATGTCTTTTAGACTCTGCTCCTCTGGGTTTGGAAGGGATTTATATCTAGATGGAAAAGGAAATAGATGTGTGAACTAGCTAAGGCTAGGTTTTCTGTGGGAAAGCTGTCTTGTACAACTGCTGAGTCTTTCAGTTTTCATTCCAGCTTGGCCTCTCATTGACTTGATTGGAATCCACTGTCTTGATTAACACTTGTACCATTTTTATACTCGTGAAGATACAGTATAAAAACTACCTCAGTGGACTGTGGCCTTCAAGGACCAGGAATGAATATGGCAGGTAACGAAAACATATTGTTGCCAAACTGAAAAACCAATCAACGTCTTCTGGGGGGGATAATTAAGTAACCCCACTTTCCTCCAGTGTTCTGAAGACATGCTGGCTGGCTTAATGGGTATAGGGAAGGAAGGTGTGTGCACATGTGCAGCACCATAGCAACACTTTCAGCGCAGGCTTTCACTGGTTTTAACAGGCCTCTCTAAACTGTCCAGGTGTGCATGTACCTCCCAACAGATTGGCATCCCATCCATGGTGTAGTTCTGCCTTGTTCCCCATGATGCCCCAGTAGTGTCTTTATTCACAAAGCCTAGAAAGAAAAGATCTCTGCATGGGTGTGTATGAGCCTGAGGGGAACACGTGTGTCCCTTTTTATAAGAAAAGGAATATAATTTTCCTAAGGAGACACTTGTGTTTGGATTTTAAGCAAAGGCTGAAGCTTTGCTTTTCGGTATTTACAAGAAACGCGTTTACTGTTCAACAATACAAATAATTCTGTTTTGCATTCGTGTATTGTTTTGCAAATGGAAAGCTAGTGATGGTTGATCTTATGTTTTTTGCGAGACCAGGCATAAATGGGTGGTTGGGTGGATGGAAAAGCTGGCAGAACATGAATAGTTCAATAAAACAGTCTACTGTACATAACATAAACAGTCCAAAACTCTGCAAATTGCAAAAGCAGCACATGCTACACTTGCTATGAATATATACCTATAACAGTAAGTTTAATGACGCGTGTACTGACCATTAGGACATTAGATCTAACTTCTGCAGCAGTCCACCTGTTAGCACAACTGCTTGACCAGTTCAGTCCAGCAACAACACACTTGTGTTTCAGGTTGAAGAGTGAAATTCATCTCAACCAAGACAAGACATGGCAGTGAGTTTTAATCATTCTAGACTTTATTGGGACACCTTCAGTGGTTTCATAAAATCATTCAGGATAATAAAAGTTGTATTCTAGAGCTGGACAGCCTGGAAGACCCTGTCAGGAAATGCTTCCATCTCTAGCGAGCTGATCTTGCAGCAGAGACTTAGGGGAAAAGTCTGACTCCCAGTTAGTTTATTCCAGTGGTCTCCTCTAATCCCAAGTTGTGAATCTCAGGATGATGTGCTCGTTTTCCCCTGGAATGTAGCACCCAACTCCTGGAAAGACAAGGTGAGTAAACAAACAGATGTGCTTAATTAAGTTATCGAAGCACAGAGACAAGCGAGCCAAGATGCAGGGAGAAGTATGTATTAAATCAGGAACTCAACTGGACAGAAATCACAAGGCACGGATTTCATAGCTGTTGTCACAGTGAGGAGACTTGCATCATCATTCCTCTACGTCACAGGCAAATTCTAATGTTGTCATCTATTTTGCTGGAAACCAAAGCAGGGTAATTTCCTAACTTTCCACATCTGTGATGAGAACTATCTATGCACCAGCTTGTCTGGCTGAAATCAACTTGACATTGATAATCGAAAGCAAACACTGCTCATTCCTGGGTGTTGGGCTCATCCAGGACCCAGAATGCTATGGCTGCAGATTCATTTACTGATGATTAATTGCTGATTTTCGTTTGATTACAGTAATTTCACTGGTGGGTCTTGGGTTCTTGTGGTTAGAATCTTTCTCAGCCCATGGTAACACACCTACGTGAACATACTCTCCCTAGGGCTGTGGATGAAGTCCTCTGGAAAAGGGGAGATGTAATTCCCTAGATTATGTGTCAAACACTTCACATTAATTAATTGTTTCTTCCAGTGTCATGAAGCTGAATTATATCACCTGTTAATGGGGGTAACAGTAACTGTCCTGTGTTTTAGCTGGTATCTGTATTGGCATTGATGCATATTCACCATGCCAGGGTTTGTCCAACGGAAGACAAAGTGGAAGGAGGAGTGAGGTAATTACTTTTAATTAAATGTAATTAAAACTGAAGAAAGGTTACAAACAACAGGGGGTCGTTTTGTCCGTCTAGCCTGTTCAGTAGTTAGCAAATCATTGACCCAAAGATCTCCTGCAGCCATTTCTTGAAAGAAGCCAAGATAGTGGCTTTAACAACATGGCTGGGTTGCTTGTTCCAGACTCCCACAGCCCTTGAGCCGAGCTCCTCTCCCTTGTCTTCCAGTAAGGACAGGGATCGTGCAGCGCTGTGGCAGGCCTGTCTCTTCCGGTTCTTTGACAGCTCCCACAGGGGTGTGATGGGATTCTCACAGTGACTCACCCCGGTCCAGAGGCATGTTGGGGTACCTCAGGAGCTGCCAGTACGTGTGGGCCGTGTCGTTCCCAGCCACTCCGTTCACACTCACCAGGTAGGGGCCGTAGTTGATGTCATCCCTGGTCTCAAATCTGCAGAAACAGACACAGCCTTGTGAGCTGAGCCCAGGCCATTAGCCCACAGCGACAGCTTCTGGCAATTACACAGGCAGCTGGAGAAAGAGTGTTAATTCATACTTCTTGACACAGCCAAGAAACTTCAGAGTGTAGGAAAAATGACGTGCGGTTTAGGCTTCATTCAGAATGGAAGTGTTTCGTATTGATGGAGTCTGCTAGCAGAATCCGTATGTTACTCTGTAGCAGGTAGGGGCCATAGTTGATGTCATCCTTGGTCTCATACCTGCAGAAACAGACACAGCCTTGTGTAGCTGAGCCCAGGCCATTAGCCCACAGCGACAGCTCCTGGTGTTAATTCATACTGCTTGACAAGGCCATGAAACTTCACAGTGCAGGAAATTGGCCTCTTTCAGAATGGAAGAGTTTGGTTTAGAAGCTTCAAAGTCATGGTAAATGTAGGTTTGAGTTTCTTTAAATTTTAGATTGTACTCCTGAACTGCCTCTTTTCTTATTACCGACCTGAAATTTGAGTTTTCTTGCTGTATTCTCAACATCGCCCCCAGAAGAACTCCCCTGTAGGGCACAGAGCCTTTGAAGATCAGTGGAGGGGTACTTTCGATGGCGTTCTCCACTGACAACTGAATCGGAGACCACTTGCTTCTTGCTTCACTCGATTCTGGGAAGTAAGGACATTCAGTCATTGAAGGCGTGGGTCTTGATGCTGACTATGAAAGTGCTTTTCTTCTTGAGTGTCTTTCCAACTCTATTCTCACTCCTGGGGACTCATGCAGGCACTTCAGGATTGTGAATTTTATAGATCTGGACATTGGGAGTCATCTGTAAGCCAAGTGTTTCTATTTTGTTACTGACACACAGCCTTTAAATGCTAGAAACTGACTAAAACATGCCTTATATACAGTACAGTAGGTTGTATTAGTGAATCATGAAGGTTATGTATTTAACATGTATTTACACAAAATATTAAATTCTGACATCTGTAAAGGGGCTGTTCAGCATTTTTTAAGTGTTAGTATGCTAGGAGTTATTCCTGAATTGCTAACATGGTGAGTCCATTAGGGACTGTGTATTCTACTTCAAAAAAAAGACTTTGCTTTTGTTTTTGCATCCTTTACAATTCTCCTCTGGCAGCGAAACAAATCTTTTCTGTCCTTCCTCTTAGTGTCTTGCAAAAAAGCTGTACGTTTTCAACCTCTCACGTTTTTATCAGGAATTACCTACTCTTTCAATGTTTCTCTGTTTTTTTATTTCAGGATGTCATGGGCTAAAACTGGCATTTTCTCATGTTTATGTCCTGCATTTTTCACTGATGGGCACCACAAAAATTCTTAAACAGAATAATGAAATATATAGAAAAACAACAAGTTGAAAACTCATGGAGGGAAAATTGAATTCCCATGTTATTATCTACTATTATTCCAATGTCCACTCTCCAGTTGGTTCCAAAAATCAAAATGCTCCCTCAAAAGTGTTGTGTCAACACATATCACCTTAATACAGCACAGGGCGGACGCTCTGTTTCACTTCTCGTCTGACAGAACTAAGGCAAGGGTGTTTTCTTAACCAAATAATTACTATCACTATGGTTACTTTTGCCAGCAGAACATAATTGTCTCAGAGGGTACAAAAGAAAATGCAGCAAGACAAACATTATTGTATATAATACTAAAGAATGATGATTACTGGTTTGATTAACGAGCTGTACAGGGTTGTTATCATATACAGTACATAGTCCGATGAATATATGCTGAGGCACCTGCTAGAACTGTCTTACCTGCTTGAACCAGAAGCGCTGGAACCAGCAGCAGCACTGTGGAGAGGATCATGGTCACAGCGAGAGCCATCCTGCCTGACGTCTCAGTCGAATACCTCCTGTGCTGGCACACTGGGCTACTTATACCACTGCCAGTCTCCTTCTGGGTAAAGTTGTTTCATTCCCACATGGTATGTGTGCCCTCTTCACCTAAGTGAATTAGCCAGAATGCCTTATCCTTGTGTCAACACTATTAAACACTTCAGTAGTTATTGGAACACCTTCATAACACTCCGTTTAATTGTCCTCACTCTATTTAATTATGATAAATCGCACTTTGACATCTGATTTTGTATTCTTTGCGCTTTGCATATGTTTTGGAGTAGTTTCCAGGAATCTAGGCTGTGAGTTTTATCACTTTGGATGAACAGCCTTGCCCTCTGCTGCCCAAGCATTAACCAACCTGTGCAAACACAGGGGAGGCTGAGACGACAATGTCTCTATTGTTTGTCGTGCTTTTGCTCTT